CACTATACCAGGCAGATTTCAATCTTGATAGGAGTGACACAAGGTCTGAAAAAATTCACCAAAACAATTACTCTTTGAGGGGATATTCCACTGTTTTCTGCAAGTTAGATCTCTTGGGCTGCTGCGCTTCCTGCACTTTCTAAGGACCAGTTAATTGTTTGCCTTTCCTTGGAGTCTGTGATTCACATCATATCCTTATAATATATTCCTTCTCTACTTAAATCAGTCAATTTCTGTTGATTGCAGCTAATGAACAATAACCAATTATGTTGTATATGATAACCGATTATATTGTATATGAATACTCAATAAAAAGTTCACTTATTACTTTGCAAGAGTTCACAGCATTTAAGTTTTGCTTTAGTTTGTGCCAGAATTTGCTTCCCTATAAGGTCTATATTAGTACTGCTTACCTCTGCTTCTGAGTCTTCATGGTATAAATGTACTTTATTCTCTAAATGGCACATACTTTAAACCTACCATCATTTTTCACATAGTAAAATAACTTGTTTTCTCAAGTAAATTACATATGACTATTAAATACCCCCACTAGAAAGTCTAAAAGACAATTTTAAGGGTTGACAGAGATGTGGAGAAACTGGAATACTCACACATTATGGGAGGGAATGTAAAATGATACAGCTACTTTGAACTGTGGCAGTTTATATAATTTACACATTTATTTAACAATTTTTTCATAAATTAAAAAATAAATATAATTACTTACTATAATGTCATCCTAGGCAATGACACTATTTTAGCTTTCATCATTGTGACCAAAAGACCTGACAAGAATATTTTTGGCTCATGGTTTCAGAGGTTCAGTCCAAGATCAGCTGACTCCAGAGCTCTTGGCCCCAGGTAAGGCAGAGCATTATAGTGGAAGGCCATGGCAGAGAAAAGCTGATCAGTTGATGACAGGAAACAGAGTGCCTTGCTCACCAGGGACAAAATACACTCAAAAGTCACATCCACAATGACCTACTTACTCTAACCGCACTATACCTGCTTACAGTTACTGCCAGTACATCCATATCAGTGGATTAACTCACTAATTAGATTACAGCTCTCATAATCTAATCATTTCACCTCTGAACATTCTTGCATTGTCTCACATGAGTTTTTGGGCAAGACCTCATATCTTACTCATATTAGATGCCAATTGAAATCATGGTCTTTATGTGCAGGTTATATTTTTTGTCTTAGTCAGTTGTTACCACTGTGAACAAAAGACCTGACAAGAACAATTTTAGAGGAGGAAAAGTTTACTTGAGGCTCACAGTTTCAGAGGCCTCAGTCCACAGACAGCCAACTGCATTGCTCTGGGTCCAAGGTGAGGTAGAACATCATGGTGAAAGATGTGGAGGAAGAAAGCAACTAAGGGCATTGAACCAAGAGAAGCAGAGAGACAGCTCCCTTGACCAAACCAAAATATATACCCAAAGGCATGCCCACAGGAGCTCACCCTCTCCAGTTGTACCCTACCTGCCTACAATTACCATCCAGTTAATCCTTTTCAGGCTTAATGTACTGATTAAGTTAAGACTTTGATAACTGAATCATTTCACCTCTGAACTTCCTTGCATTGTCTCACCCAAGTTTTGGTGGGGATATCTAATATCTAAACCATAACATTTTTCTACCAATACACTGAAGATGTACTTAACTATTTATTTATTTATTATTTTGGTACTAGGGATTGAAACCCCACCCCAGTCCCTTTACTATTAATTTTAAATGTGAGTCACTTCTTATCTAAATTCATTTTTTATACCACCAATGGTATACATATTGCTCTTTGAGGAAACACTAGGTTGTTGTATTTAACCTATGATTTTATATAAATTAATTTTCATCAAAGCAACAACCAACTCAGGAAACAATTATACAAAGCTTTATGTAGCACAAAATGAGACACAAAGTGTTAGACTTTTCACTGAGCAAATAGCTTTTTTTTCTTCTGTCAACCAAAAGTGACTGAGGAGCTAGAAATGTGGGAATCCTCCAAAGCCAAGATTTCTACTTTGCATCTAACCTGATCATAAACAAGTAACTTTACCGGGAAAGGAGACCTCCACATAGGGAGAAGGAAAAAGAAAAATGCAACAAAAATGCTAAATTGTTGTTTTAGGGGATTATGGGTCATTGAGTTCTTTCTTTAAATCTTTCATTATGTTCATGTCTCTATTCACCAATTTTTATGTAATGTGCTTCTATTTTTTAAAATAAACAATATAGTAAAATCTTTGTTCTTTTGAATACTATTAGATGAAGATACCCAAGCATATCTTCTATTCCTTATAAAATAAATATCTAATTTTATATCGACTTAAAATTTTTATCAATTTCTCATTTTTTACTGATTACATACCTTTTGTTACTAATTATGTTAATACACACTCCAAGTTTAAAAGTGCTAGAAGTGGGTATACTATCATTATGTGAAAAAAATAATCCAAAGAAACTAAGGACTTAGCTTGGCATGATGGTATATACCTGTAGTCCCAGCTAGTTAGGAGGCTGGGGCAGGAGGTTCATTTGAGCCAAAGGTTGAGAACTGCCTGTGAAGTATAGCAAGACGCCATCTCAAAAATAAAAACAAAAATGACGCTGGGGTTGTGGCTCAGTGGCAGAGTGCTTGCCTAGCATGCGTGAGGCACTGGGTTCGATTCTCAGCACTGCATATAAATAAATAAAGATCCATGAACAACTAAAAAATATATATATATTTTAAAAAACATAACCCTCAATAGCCCAAGCAGAATAGAAAAAACAATGGATTTTTCGGGTAATTACAGCTTGACTACTTTTAGAACTTTATAGGTTAAGCAATATGTGACATTTGCTTTAATTACTATAGCAGGAATGAAGGGTGGTAGGTAACTGGAAGGAACTGATGAAAATAGAACAATAACAGAATGTTGTTAATTGCAGAATGTGGGTGATATGTAAATTGGTATTCATTATTTAATTATATTCTGTGTATTTGAAAAATTACTTAATAAAAACAAATTTTTAAAACTTCTAAATTTACACTATTAGAAACCTAAAACAACCTCTGTAACATGCCCAAAATAGTAAAACATGAAGAAAAAAGTTCACTCCGAAACAAAGCTCCCAAGTGGTCTATAAAAATTACTTTTGCTATTTTATTTGTAGAGTTAAGTGAAAAATCAAGAATTTATCAGTAAGTACACAAATATTTAAAAGTTGTATGAAAGGCAATTATCGCCATCTACTGGACACTACTTGCTATAAAAGTTAAGATTTGAAAAAAAAACACTGAAATAAACCCATTCTACTCAAAGTATCTAGTTTTTAATAAGGTTTTAAATAATACCATCAAATTCATGTTCTGATATGTGCATATATTAGTAATGCTACCTAATAATGTCTTATTACATCACTTCAAACAGTGTAAAATGCCACCTGCTAAAAGATGTATTATAAAATTTTGGTTAGAAAGCACATTGGTGCCACTATATGACATCTTTGTCTTACTTCAGGTCACAGAACTTGAGTTGTTTGTTCACAAGGTTAGAATTCAAGAATTTAAACTATTTTTACAAATATACCAGAAAATTAGAAACTAATTCTAGTTCTTAAGCTCAGTGCATTATCCATTTTTTTCAGCTCAGTTTTTAAAAACCTTTATTTATTATTATTTTATAATTTGGCTGTTAGCATATAATAGTAATTCTTAATCCTGTTAGTTCAGAATCACTTGCAGAACTTTTAAATAAACTGATGTTGGCTCCAAAGTAAGAGATGTTTTTATTTTATCCATGGTTAAAAGAAATATCAGTTTATACCAGCCTCAAAGTATAGTCCCTGAACCATCAGCAGCAGAAACAGCCAGTTATGAAAATTTCAAGGTCCTCCCCATATTGCTGAAGCCTAGCAATTTATGTTTTGTAAACCCTTCAGGTGATTTGGATGCAAACTAAAAAGTATTTTCTATAAAAAACTTTTGTCTTTTTTTTTTAAATATAGGCTTTAACTCATTGTGCCCTAAGAAGAAAATATTTAAAATGGATTTAATTTATTGTTCTCTAAGAGTAATACTGTGCTTGCACGCCTGTAATCCCAGCTCTGGAGGCTAAGACAGGATTGGGGATTCAAAGCCAGCCTCAACAACTTCGAGGCACTAAACAACTCAGTGAGACCCTGTCTCTAAGTAAAATATAAAAAATAGGGCTGAGGATGTAGCTCAGTGATTGAGTGCCCCTGAGTTCAATTCTTGGTCCCTCCCCCCCCAAAAAAACCCAAGAGTAATATAGTGGAATTCCATTATTTTTCCAGACGCATGCCACTATAAATTTTCAACAAGTTTCTAGTTAAGACAATTTCAACAAATGCTCTAATAGAAGAGTAGGGAATGTTCCTGTCTAAAGAAAGCTTTATTTTTATGGTTTATTTTGATTCACAAGGCACCTTTCTAAAGACATGAGACCTTTATCCACATCAGATCTTTTCACCCTAGAAGCCACTTCTAGAAATAAAGAGGAAAATAAATTATATTCTAATGCATGGCAAATATTGGATGGGGGACTCTGAAACCAGCTAAATGCTTACCAACTGGGGGAATGATTCCATAAATCAGAATATCAACAGGATGAAATGTTGCTCAATCACCAAAATGATACTTTTCATATGAGATTTTAAATAATATAGAGAAATGACTGTAATAGCTCATGAGACTGAAAGCATACACTCCCTGCCCCCGGCCCCCCCCCTCCCATACGCATGCTTTCTCTCTCAATTGGAAACAAGGAAGTACTGAAATATTAATGCTGATTATCCCTGGGTAGTAGTATTATGAATTTTAAAAAATTTACCAGTGTTTTAAATTTTTCAATAATGAATATTCTCCATTAATCAGAAGAAAATCTACAAAAAAAATGGCAGAATTCTTGGGTTGGGGGTATAAACTCAGTGGTACAGTCCTTGACTATATGTATCATGCACAAAGCCCTAAATAAATAAAATAACACAGCTCCTACTTTATGATTTAGGATCTTTAATGATTAATCAAAGCTTTCAGAAGATGGTAACCAGAGCTGGGGATGTAGTTCAGGGGTAGAGTCCTTGCCTAGCATGCACAAGGCCCTGGGTTCGATGCCTAGTATTGACAAAAAATAGAGGGGGTGGGGGGCGGTTAGAAGAAGAAATTCCTTAGAATGAATACTTTCCACATTTTTTTCTTTAAAAAACAGTTAAGTTTGTTAGAGAATATCATGTGAAGTAAGCCAATCCCCCAAAACCAAATGTTTTCTCTGATAAGTGGATGCTAATCCATAATGGTGGGGCGGGGATAGGATGAGTGGAGAAACTCTGGAAGGGGCAAAGGTGGGGAGAGGACATGGGGGTAGGAAAGATAGTGAAATGAGACAGACATCATTACCCTAGGTACATGTATGATTGCACAATGGTGTGATGCTACTTTAGGTACAACCAGAGAAGTCAATTTGTGTATAATGAATCAAAGAACATTCTGCTGTCATGTATAACTGATTAGAACAAATAAATGAATTAAAATTATAAAAAATGGTTATGTTTGTAATGTAGGTCATGACTTGGCCATTCTCTGCCTTGTGAGAACCAAGGATGTTACCATTCCCTCAGGTGGTTATGGCTCCAAAGGAAAGTTGTTGTAAGCTAGAAACTGCTGTTATATCTACCAATATGTAAATGTGATAAGAGTTTAAAAAGTAGGTTCAGAGAAAATATTTCCTTAATTTTGAAACTGTATAAATTTTCAGTGTTAAAATTTACTTCTAAGTGCAATGTTCAAGAAATCATAAGACATCAAATGTAGAAATTATGCAGTTTTATAATTTTCTTTGTTGTTTCTTAATCCGTTGAAAAGAATTTCACAATTCAACACTTTTAGGCAGCTTCTTGGTTACTTTCCTTAGTTTCTACTTCTTTGGGCAGCAATGGATCAATCTTTAGTAGCAAACCTTCACTTGTTGAGCTACGAAGGAAGGCACGTACCACAAAGGGACCTAGAAACAAAGGCAAGAATCAATTTTGATGTTTATTCTATAGATTCCTAAGGTGCGAATACAAATAAACAACAGGAAACTTTATAGGACTCACATCATATTTTCACTTGAAAAGTACTAAGTTGGTGAGTAATATTTTAAATTCTAAGAAAGGAAAGATAGATTCATTTCTAGAGCAGAAGACAAAACTAGCTGTCTAGAGATTTATCCTTAAAACCACACACTCACTAATAATTTTTTTCTTCCAGAAGATGATCACCTAGAATTTATTTTATTGCAAAGTCAACAGTGAAGGGAGCAGGTGGTGATATTTACATTTGATGAAAATACTCTAAATATTTAAAACAGTCTGCACAGATGCTACCTTTTGTTACCAAACAGTTGGTAAAATTCTCTAAAAATTAAAAAGCTTTTCATAAGAACAATGTTAAGAGATTTCATTTTAAATGACACAAAATAAAAAATAAAATAACAGCACTACTTCGATTTACTGTCTACCATTCCACTTCTGCTATAGTCTCAGAGGATGCTATACTGAAATCAAAGTTTCTGTGGAAGATAAAAATCCATAAACATACAATAACTAGGTACTATAGCCATAGAACAAATGAAGTGTTTAACTCCCAGAGAACATTAAAAAGAAAAAGAAAACAAAACAGCTTATGATTGTGCTTTAATTATTAATGTAGTTATAACACTAACCCTGGCAAATTTCTGTCATGGTTAACCTATTAGTGAATAGTCAATTAACTAGCCAATTAACTATAACAGATCCTGGCTTAGCTTCAGTTATCCATGAATGAAGTTTGTCTGAGGAAGGAATCTGAATGAAGCAATGCAATGATAAAGGTGCCAGGCTAGCTGTGTTCTAGTTTCCACATCTTGACCAAGTCAGTGATTCTCCATAAATCACCTATTTATAAGAAGTGACTTTCGGGGCTGGGGATGTGGCTCAAGCGGTAGCGCGCTCGCCTGGCATGCGTGCAACCCGGGTTCGATACTCAGCACCACATACCAACAAAGATGTTGTGTCCGCCGAGAACTAAAAAATATTAAAAATTCTCTCTCTCTCTCTTTCCTCTCTCATTCTCTCTTTAAAAAAAAAAAAAGAAGTGACTTTCATAACATGACAAAAATGATCTTTCTTTTCTAAAATAAATAAATAAGAAAGCCATGTACTAGTATCAGAGACAAAGTCAATGATCTAGCTTCAAAATAACATTTCTTAAATGACTTTTGTTCCTATTTAATACCATTATAAGTTTAAGGCAATCTGTTTTCTTTCAAACTTTATTACATTTAATGATAGAAATAACATGGAAATGTGTAAATGTATTTGTATAAGTGATAAAGAAGTCGCTCTCTAAAAACTATGACTCATTAATAAGGTAGTTAGGAATACTTTGAAGAAGTAAATTTTATTTATTTAATTCCTAGAACATGTGTTTGCATATTAATCTACTTGTTTTCCTAATATTTTATATTTTTTAAAGTACCACAGTGCTACAGGGAAGTCCACCCTCAGCACACCACTTACCCAAATTCAGAGGTCTATGTTTACACACTTCATTAATAACTGCTTGCAGATTGGTAGCTATCTGGTCACTTGACATATCCAACTGAAAGAAAAATATGTGTATAACATTAATGATATGAATGTGAGAAGATGACACCATTTGAGTAACTGTATTAGTATTTATTCTGGATTAGTATTATTAGTATTTATTTCAAGTATTCACCTAATGCAATTATCCTCACCCCTGCCCTTCCTCCCCCACAGTGATGCTGGGGATGCACCTCAGGAACATTCCATTACTGAGTTACATTCCCAGTCCTTTTTATTTTTTATTTTGAGACAGGGTCTCGCTTAATTGCTGAGGCTGGCCTCATATTTGCAATCCTGTTGCCCCAGCCTCCCAAGTCACTGGAATTACAGGGTGCACGGTGCCCAGCTGCAATTAACTATTAAGAAACCCTATTTTGAAAGCAAAAACTTCCATACTTCTTTTGAAAAGCTACATTTTATATGTTATATATAAAGATTTAATTACCTTATAGAATGTATTATAGCAAAGTGTTTTAAAATTTTTCCATTTGAGGTTCCTTGATTTTCAAGTAATTTCTACAAAGCATATCTTGGATACATATACCATTCCCCATACACACCTCAAGGAATTAGTGTTATTTTCTTAAGGTCATTTGCTGATTTATTTACAAAAAAAAATGTTTAGAAATTAATGCATTCATGAGTTCAAAATACAGCTACTTTACTACATGCATTAAGGAAATACATATAGAGATATTTTTAGGATGCTGAGCTAACATTCTAATTTTTAAAACACTTTAACCAGGCAATACCAATTATCTTGCCATTTAGCAAAACTACAATAATATATAATAAGTCCTATTCATAAAACTCCTAAACCCAACTTATATCCTTGAAAAGCCCATGCTTCAACAGAATTTTATTCAGCCATAAAGAAAAATGAAATTTATGCCCTTTGCAGGAAAATGGATGGAATTAGAGACCATTATGCTAAGTGAAATAAGTCAAACTCAGAAGGTCAGGTAATAAGAAAGGAAAGGTGATCTAGAAAGGAAAATCTCAAAAAGAAAAATCTCAAAAGGAGATTAGTAAAGGAAAGGGGCCAAGGGGTAGGAGGCAAGAGGGAGGGGGAAGTGGTAGGAAGTATTACTGGGCAAATTATATTATTATATTGTGTGCATGTATGAATATGTAATAACAAATCCCATCAATATGTACAACTATAATGCACCAATAAAAATGTGGAAAAAGTCCATGTTTATTAATCAAATTCAATGAATGTTATTTGTTTTAAATATACCAGTTAAACTCAATTATAGTACATTCAAATGTTAAGAGGATTTGGGTTGTGTGAAATGAATTATTTTCTAATATTTCATCAAAAATTTATAATAGCATAACGAACAAAAATCATACAGTGAAAGAGTTAAAAGTTTAAACAAGATTTCTATTTTCCCGTGATTGTGAAACCATTATGAGAAATGTGCCATGTAAATATAAGGAGAACCCCTCCTGGAAAAAATTATTCTCTTATCGTCATTAAACAACATTTATTCAACACAGACTTGGAATGACACAGTACCAAACCCTAAATGAAAGTTTAAACATTACTGAAGGAATTCTCACTTCATCCTAATCCATAAGTGAGAGTTCTGAGAGGAAAAAACTCAAATCACTAGTTAGTTTATCCTATAAGTCCACAGACCTTGCAGTCTTTAAATATAATGAAGCAATCATACTAGCAGAGAAGACATCTTCCACACTCTACATGAAAGAAAAGAAAAAGCTAAAGGAGTACTCACCTCTTGATTCTCCACTATACCTCAAAGTGTCATTCTTCCTATTACCAACTAAAGAGACCATCACAGCTTAATAAGTTCCTTTATTTTTTGTTAAGACCTTAGCACCTACCTTAAATTTGGAAATAGACAGAAAAAGCAATTATGTCCAACATATCTTTTTTAACAGTTGTGGTCTATACTGTTATACTATATATACTCAAATTTTTAAGTATACCTTTTACAGTCTTATATTGCAATTCCCATAGAAAGCCAAAATAACATATGCTATAGATATAAATACAAAACTATTAATTCTCCTGCAACTTTCATTATTAAGATTCCCTCAGTGACTTTAAGGGTTTTGGGAGGTTCTGGGGGACTGTACTGGGGACTGAACTCAGGCCTCCATAAGCTTTGATTCTGAACTATACCACTGGACCCTTATTTTAAGTTTTAAAAAATATAAAAATGTTTTAAAATATAGTTTACACTTTTCTCCAAATTTTATTAGCACCTCTGATCTTTAGTAATGTGCCCTCTACTGAATTTTAAAATATATTTATAAACATAATACTTTACTTCATTTTTGTTTTAAATATTGTGCAAAATTATGGAAAAGTTACATATTTTATGGGTATTACTATTGATTATTTAATTAGCTACTGATGGAAATCAGTAATGATAACTTACGTACAAAAATAATATATATCTCTATATCAGTTTCATCAAAATTTACATGGGAGGGGCTGGGGCTAGGGCTCAGTGGCAGAGCACTTGCCTAGCATGTGCAAGACACTGAGTTCATTCCTTAGCACCATATACAAATAAAATAAAGGCATTCTGTCCATCTACAACTACAAAAAATTTTTTTTAATTTACATGGGAAATTTATTTGAACTGACCATAACTCAGGAAAACGACATCTGCAAAATTCTCAGCAATGATGAGCACTAAGCAACTCAGTGAGATCCTGTCTCTAAATACAAAATAGGGCTGGGGATGTGACTCAGTAGTGGAGTGCACCTAAGCTCAATCCCCAGTACCTACTCCCCACCCCCATAAATAGTCGTAATACTATTTATGTTTAGCTAAAGTGATCATCCACTGCAGGGCATAATCGTTATTTCTCATTCTGTAGCACAAATTTTTCAAAAGACTGTTTTTTTAGTGAATCCTACATTCTGCTTAACATTCCTTAGAAAAGATTTTTTACCAAAAATGCAAGGGTTGAGATTCTGTACATAAGTGAACTCTGCCTCTATCTCATTGCTTTTAAACTCATTCTTCTCTTTCCATGCAACTCATAACCTTTACTTTCAAAAAATTTCTTATCATTCTAACTAAAAAATTGGTCATTCTTTGTCCCTTTGAGATGCATATGTTATATTTCATCTCAGGGCAAAATTTTGTCATGAACATGTCCAAAGCAGTAATTTTTAAACTCTTTTAGGTCATCAAACCTTGCTCCAGAAGAATGCACATAAAAAATTTAGCCTATGCTTTTGATCTTTATGAATTCTCTGACTTAAAAGAAAAGTAGAGAGAAAAAGACTTACCAGGAAAGTATCTTAGTTAAAAGGGATCCCTGGGTCAGACTTTGAGAACCACCAATAAAGAGGTAAGTTTGTTCAACTATTTTGGAAGACTATAAACTACAGTGTAAAAAATAAAAATAATATTTAAATTCTACATAGGATAGAACTTTAAGAAAGCAATATAAATGATTTTTAAACAATACATGTTCCTTCTAAAAAGAACAGTTTATGTAACTATAATATCCTGATAGTCTTTAGATGACTGATCACCTCTAACTGGAAAATGAAAGAGACTACTGCTTTCGATAAGTACGTGTTTAACTACCTGACCTCCAAAATCCCTTCCAAATGCAATATTCTAAGTTATATTAAGTGTGGCCTAGCAGATGGTTTCTGCAGAAAGGCCAATACTCAACCTCTGTGACTTCCAACAATCTAAATCAAGAAAGAGAAGAAAATCCATATTTCCTACAGAACATTAATTAAGTAGTAATAATAATAATAATTGAGTATTGATAAATAATCATTATAATTACATATGAAATAATTATAATTGATTATAAAACTTATTGGGGTACTTACTCTGGGTCAAACTCTGTTCTACAGAAACTGCTTAGCTAACAATTTCATATCTACATAGATATTTTTTCATTTCTTCCAAGAACTCTATGATGTAGCTATTATCATATAGCACTTAAATGTTTCATCTATCTAAAAGCACATATATGGTAAGAAGTTGGCCTGTCAGCTATGTTTGTGAACTCTTCAGGCAAGCAAACATTGATAAATTTCATTTCCATTACTTGCTAGCTTGTAACCCTGAACAAGTAATTCTGATCCTTACAAAAAATGACTATTTGTCTGAAAAACACAAATGAGTTTGTTGGAAGCTAAGGGGAGGAAAAGAAATTATATTAGACACTGGAAGGAGAAGAACATTCAGATGAAAACTACGATTTTTCTTTCTGCCTAATGAATCCTTTACCACTTTCCTAATTTTTAGATGTTAACATCACATAATTCAGCACATTTATTTAGTTCCCACTCTTTGTCAAGCAACAATGCTGTAAAATAGAAACAAAAAGAAGGGAAGATTCAAACCCTACCCTCAGGAGCTTACTATCTAGTCACTAAAATATAACACAATAGGTGATATTCCAAATGAATAAACACTTACAGGGGCACAGAGGAAGAAGTGATTGGCTTTGACCAGGAGGGCTTTACAAAGAATATTTAAGCTGAATTCTAAAAGAGGAAGAATACTGAAGAACAAAGAAAATTTTCTAAGCAGAAAAACCAGTATAAGGTGACATGAGGTAACCATGATGTAACTCATTGTATTTAGGGACAGCATTATTGAAGACTTCTGGACTTAAGTGCATGCACAAATGCCACTTACATAATACAGGTCATGCAGAACTGGAGAGCAACCACCCTATGTGAGAGAAGCAGTGGCTACTCAGGGATAATAGACAATTGTGATGAAAGCTATGGGGCTGGTGTCATTATGGCTCCTGATTTTTTCAAAAAACATGTCAAAATTTGGATTTCTATGTAATGTTCAGTTTTTAAATGTTCAGGTTTCAATAAAACAAAACAAAATCTCTATGTGGGTCCAACAAAATAAGTCTGGGAGGCCAAATACAGCCTGCAAGCTATCAATATGTATGTAACTCTGATCTTCAGGTTGCACCACTGAAAATAGCAGAAAATACTGAATTTGAACCTCAGAAAGTGACTTAAGACTAGATTGCAAA